GTGGATTAGTATATAAAGAGATGGGTAGGCGTAATGAGTCGCTTTTGGAATTTAATAAATCATTAGAAATTGATCCAAATAACGTAAATACATTATGTAACCGTGGATTAACTTTTAGTAGTTATGCAAGAGCGAAGAATCACTTGCTGATTTTAATAAATTATTCGAAATAAAATCAACTTACCTAGGGATGAGAACGAATGAAGAATCATTTTCAGATTTCAGCAAATTACTAGGAATTGAACCAAATAATGTAATAGTATTACAGTGCTGCGAATTAATTTATCGAGAGCTAAATAGTAACGAAGAATCGCTTGTCGATGTAAGAATTTCTACAAGTGAGGCAAATGAAGAGTCGCGTTCAGTTTTAAACAAATTCATTAGAAACAGAACCAAACGATAGGTGCACTTGCCGACTTTGAGTCATTAGAAATTAATCAAAATGATAATGCGATAGCATTGAATTATTTTGGAATGCAGTTTTTGAATCGCTTTCATATTTTAACAAATCATTGGAAATCGATCCAAATAATGCTATCACATTGTGCAATCGTGGATTTACTTGTCAGGAAATGGGTAGATATAAATAATCACTTGCTGACTTAAACAAATCATTATGATTAATCCAAATTGTGCAAGTATATTAAATAATCGTGGATTAACTTATCAGAAAATAGGAAAATATAAAGAATCTCCTGTTGACTTATCATAAATAAATCATTAGAAATCGAACCAGGTGATATAATCACATTGTGCAATCGTGGATTAACTTATCGGGAAATGGGTAAATATGAAGAATCTCTTGCCGATTTAAATAAATCATTAGAAATCGAACCAATTGATGCATATGTATTATATAATCATGGAGAAACTTACCGGACAATGGGCCTGTGTGGAGAATCACTTACAGATTTAAACAAATCATTAGAGTTCGAGCCAAATGACGCAATGGCATTAAATAATCGTGGATTAACTTATGCGCAACTGGGAAAATATGATGAATCTCTTGCCGATTTAAATAAATCATTAGAGATCAAACCAGATTATGCACTGGCATTGAGTAATCGTGGTGATGTTTATAGAGAAATGGGTAGATATGAAGAATCACTCGCAGATATAAACAAATCATTAGAGATCAAGCCAAATAATGCAAATGCATTAAGTAACCGCAGATTTATTTATCATGGTAGATATCGAGATTCTTTGTTTGATTTAAATAATTCATTAAAGATTAATCCAAATAATATAACGCATTAAATAATTGTAGAACAATTTATCGATTAATGGGCTGATATGATGAATAACTCGCAGATTTAAAAGGGCATTAGCTAATAGTGGAGTGACTTATCTCCATATGAACAGATATAATGAATCACTCGCAGATTTAAATAAGGCATTAGAAATAAATCCCAATTCTACAATGACATTGGCTAATCGTGGATTAGTTCATCAATATATGGGTAGTTATAAAGAATTGCTTACAGATATGAATAGATTTTTTGGAGTTAAATCGAATAATGAAAAAACTCGTATTAGATTTGGAACTTACCCAAGTTGCAAACAATATAATACTGGTTTTCAATTTTGCATTTGTGTGACTCTCAAATAAATCTAGTGTAATTAAAGAAATTGATGATTACATTAGAAAATCTCAAAAAAAGAGTCTGAATATTATAACAAAATTATCGAATGGATACCTTTTGACAGATTGGAAGATATTCAAAAATAGGTAAAGGTGGTAATTTCACAGTTTATTCTGCAATTTGGATTGATGGCAGGCGAACCGATAATCTAAATGATATTACCGGAAAATTAATGCTGTCACGAGAATCGAAGTGTAAGGTTGCTCTCAAAAGTTTAAATGGAAAACAACAATCGGATTTCTTAAACGAGGTAAAAAGAAATTATTTACTATTTTTTATTTTATTTTTATGACTAATATCTCATTTTTATTAAAGTTTAAAGCACACTATGAATGTCAGCTTAGAAGGTATAGAGTAAAAAGTTACGGATTAGAGATATATGGGATGACGTATAATCCAACAGAAGATCAATATATGATGGCTTTTGAATATGCCGATAAAGGAGACCTTCAACATTATCTTAACCTAATTTTATATCTCTTACATGGAAACAAAAAATTAAGATTCTTCGTTCAATATTGAACAATTTAGATTACATTCACCAAAAATACATTCATAGTGATCTTCATAGCAAAAATATACTTATGTTTAGTATTGAGGATTTTATTCCTCGTGCTTTTGATTTAAATGGCACATTAATAATGATTCAGGCGAATGTTGGAGGTAAATTAGAGACAATAAAACCAAAGATATCGGATTTAGGATTGTCCAGCGAAGCAAAAAAAACATGACATACAAAAGTATGGCGTACTTTCCTATTTAGCACCTGAAGTTATATTAAAGAAGCAATACACTAAAGCATCAGATATTTATAGTTTGGGTGCAATTATGTTAGAGGTATCAACTGGTCGACCGCCTTTTATAAATATGCAAAATGAAGAAGATTACATTTTAATGCAGGAAATAATTAAAGCCTCACGTCCTAAATTTGGCCCAGGAACACCTGATTGTTATGTAAATCTCGCAAATCAACGTATGAATGGAGACCCAGATAAAAGACGACTGCATCAGATGTCTATGAAAAGTTTCAAGATTGGGAGATAATCCTCGATAAAAACATTGAAGAACTAACCGAAGAACAGATTGAGATCAGAGATGCTTTTTCAAAGGCAGATAACGATCGGAAAGAATCAAATAAAGATCGAATTGAGACTAAAACTGATAAAAATATTTCCACAATATCAAGATTGCAATATATAGGTAATAATAAGTTTAATTATTTATTAATTATCTGTTATAATTTTAAATTAGTTAAATTCGAAGGTTTTAAACAACAATTTTGTTTATCTATAAAATTATTGTTTGCTAATTTACGAAAACATAGATACCGAATTCGTAAGATAGTTGATTGAAAACTGAATGTTTTAGCATCCGAAAATTTTCCAACATTAATTTTATTCATAAAGTTTATGATAATCTTCTGAAAGATTTTCGAAAAAATTAAATTCTAAGCATGAAGGCATTTTACAAAAAAATTTAAACAATGAAATTTAAAATTTGCAATGGTTACTTTATAAGTGAGAACAGAATTAAGTGGATTTGAAAAGTTTTAGCAAATTATAATTTTATATAAACTTACACCCAGTGTTGGCATTGGACATATGTACAATGCCAACACTGCTTACACCCTAACCCCAAATTATTAAGAAATTTCAAATCCACTCAAATTCCGCTCTCACAATGTTATACTATGCATCTAATTATAAGTAATTTCAAGAATTTTTTTTATTGTTAAAACAAAAAATCATAGATTCTTGGTTAATTACCTGCTAATTAAATATTAAATCAAATACGTAATATCTAATCTTTAGTAATGATGATAGCTGCAATTTTATTTTGTTTACAAAAATTTGGATATAAAAAAATTATCGTATTTACATATTTATTCATTAATCTATCTTTACATAATTATTACTATCACCATTAAATTTTATATCACAATTTATACATATTCAAGATTTAATATGTAGCTATAATTTATTTTAAACTAATTAAAAATTATAACATCGCATTCAAACTATGACAAAATCTTAATTAGGGATTATACAAAATGTTCACTGAGATCTTCGAGAATATGATTTGATCAATTCCCCATTATAATCAGATTACTCCGGTTCTTCATCCGGCCTGCGTATAAACCAGAAGTAGTCATATGTGGCAAGTATTGAATAGGATACTTTATTACTGAACATGTATCATACACCTGCCGAATCACATGCTTCGCTTTATCATTTTTTCGTAAAATTCAGGAAATGTCTGTTCACCGAGATCTTCGAGAATATAGTTTCTATTGATCTAGGCTACTAAGATCAATTACCCCTAATAGTAACATGTAGAATCAGGATCTCCAACAGTAGGTGACCGATCTGAAAAGTCGTAATCAGCACCCATCGCAGTATTTAATACCGAATTGATGTTGACATCAATTGCGGTACATACCGACCTCGTCTTATGGAATGGGTGCTGATACGCAAAATCCGCCATTTGGAACTTTTCTCCGAGTCGAAGGTGTGCTCATTCACCTCCCAAAGAATTTATCCCAAATTTTCACATCTTTGGGAGCCTTTCCCACTGCTACAGTGGTCGACTTTGATTTTGATGCATTAGGAGCAAATTCGATGGAAGGTGGAATCGACAACAACACCTCTTCCTGGTTCAAAACTAAAAATAAAAATATAAGCGCTAAGAAAACATCCAAGATATAAACAAACTGTTCATTTAAGTATTTTCACTTACGCTCACTTTCGAATCAGTCATCCGAATTCGCTTGCTCGTGGAGGAGCCAGAGACTTGATCTTCTCTGCCTTGCTTTTTGCCGGCCGATGGTTTCCGTCTTCATTAACAAAAAAATTAATTTTAAAAATTAGAATTATATATTAATAGCCTCGATTACGAACTTTTAAGTGAATTTTTCTGCTGATAATTCTTAATAATATAGCTTAATAATATAGTGAATGGTAGCCTGGAAAAAATTAAGCTATTCTTGATTTTATTTGTAAAAAAAAAAAAAACCTGCCTCTTTTTCTAATAATTCCGTCGTAAGGTTCCTAAAATCCGTAGGAATACGGTGATTATTTCTGGTCCCTAGTGCATCATAAAATTCGCAATATATCTTTTGTTCAGTGATGCACTCGAGTACCCAGGCCTTATAACCTTCGGGCGACCATTCACTGGGTGGTGTAATCTCAAAGTATTTGGTAAATTGATTAGTCCATTTACGAAAAACTTCGGGAGATTTAATGCCTGTAAAAAAAAAGGTGCTTATGTTAGAAATCATTAAAGTTATACTCAAATTTCAATTTTAGCTCTATTGGACTTCGTATAAAAATTTTAGATATAAAGTTATGCTTTATTCACATACCACAAGACTCTTTAGGTTAGACATATTGGCAAATACGTATACTTAGTTTATTGGTAAAAAAAAAATATATATATATATATTTTAATCTTCAAAGGTGAGGCAATAAATAATAATTTTATGCTGCAAAAAAAAAAGAAAAACTCAAAAATCCAATATAATAGCGTGGGAATGATCTGTGTACATCAGTTTCGTGCAATATCACGTATAACAATTTTTGACCAATGAAATTTGCATGTAGAATGTGAGCCAGGTTGTGGCGCAACTGTGGTACAACACTTTAAATGTTCTCCATTTTTGGTAATAACGTAATGCGTAATTTTTTAATACAAACCACTCATCTATACTGCTTTATTTAACCACATCACAATATCTCTTAATATTACGATATATGTAGAAGTTATATCAGTTTAACTTTTATCCACTTTTCATCAGAGCTAATTAATCATATTTTCATAATATTTTTATTCAATTAATAACTACAACCTTTTTTGCTTTATTTTATTCGAAAATTTCTCATTTTTTCATTTTTTTTTTTATTACGTTATCAAAATTTAAATATAGCCTGTTATAAACTTATCAATTTTATCCGCTTTTGTTAATGTAACCTTAAAAGCCTTTATCCACTTTTATGTATACCTTGTTCGGGTTCTGAGATGCGCGTTTGTCACCCTGCACAATGATGGAAAATTGTAATAGGGGAGGTTGTCACCCGTTGATGTCTACTAATTTCAGAGAAGGAATTAGCTATGAATTTTTGTATAGAATTTCTAGCTCGCAAATTAATATTTATTTTATTTTTACATAATTAGATAATATTCGAAAATTACGGTGGAAATATTAACGATTATGTGAGAATCAGATTCGATGCGCCTGTTGCTAAGTTGTAACAAATATGCTAAGTCTGGTTTCAGTGCTTAAGTAATATATAATTCATGGATAGGTTAGTGTTATTTAGAATATTGTTTTCAAATTTCCGAAATTGTAAGTATTATTTTAAATATGATTAACTAGAACTTGTAAATGTGGCGACTTCGTAGTCAAGGTTTAATGTATTTACTGAAAGATAAGAATTATATAAAAATCAATATTATATTATCAGTATAGAAATTATTGGCTTAATTTTATTGTTTAAATATAAAATTATCATACTTTCTTTGGTTTACATCGTATAAGCTATCCAGGATAGTATTAATCATATGATATGTAGACAGCTTCACTGACTAGGCTTTATAAACAAATTAATATAAAACAATATTATGTAATGAGTGCTTGTACTTAAATGTTAAATATGATTAAAAGGTACATATAAAAGTAAATTTGCAATGGTTATTTCATGCCCGTAAAGCAATCTGGTCAAGAATACGTGACCCAAAGTTATAAGAATCGGGACCTTAATTCTCATTGATCGACAAAAGCGAAAGTATTTAATAATGCTAATTCTGTTTGGCTCAAGGCGAAGTTCCATTGAAGTACCGTAAAGCATTGCATTCAATACCTGGGGTACAAATCAAAAAACCCTGGCTAACTTGATTTGTACCCGGTGATTTTATGCGAGGGAAAAGATAAAATCCAGTGGGAAATACTTCGAATGATTCTTAGACAAGAGTCATATTTATTAGATGAAAATAACTACACAAGCATAATTGAAATTAAACGACAGTAATGAGATTTTAATCTGGTAGAGTACAATTCTAGGGGGTGTACTAAATGCAGTGCTCTATGGTACAATAGTAAGGTGACTCTGGTATTTAAATGGTGGGAACTAAAATCATAGTCATGTAAATGAATATAAATTAATCACCGTTAGTCATAGAATTCCCGATACTATAAATAGTCATATTGCTTGTAAGATTCTAATCATAGTAGCAAAGCTCGTCGTGTATAAAACTTATTGATTTCATGTAACTAAATGGTATGAATAGATAGCTATGAAAGTATTATATTAAATAAAGATCATGTAACTGGGGGTCCTAGTAGCAGTAGGATACTTGGTTCTCAGACCAATCTTCCATGCTTTCTTTCGAGTAGCCTTTGTTTTTTGTTGTGTTTTTAACTATGAAATTGATAACCTCGAATCCGCCTTTTACACAACTCACTAAACTATTGAATTAAGAAGAAATAATAATAAACATGGTTCCTAGAGCATAGCGGGCTTTATTATGATTGGTTGATTTTGAAGATCATCTCATCATATTAAAGTCTTATTAAAGTAACGATT